ATTGTTCTTTTACCTAATAACTTAGTTTTACAATGTTTTCCTTCATTTATTATTATTATTAATCTTAATTTTTATTTTAATTAAGTTAACCTATTCCAAATAGCTATTAAAGTTTTATGTAGCATTTCTAGTTTGATTTAAAAAATTAAGACAAATATTAACTTTTTTTCAATAAAAAGAAAAATAATTGAATAACAACTGTTATTTATATATAATATGTTGTCAGCATGTACCCGCATATGCTCTATTGTAATAAACAGATAGAAAATGAATCTAAAACATGCAATACTAATCGAACAATATATATAAAGTATCCAGACAATTACGCCATATCAATTATCCCCAAGAAACGATTTTTTCGTAGATCAAAACATCCTGGTTGAAAATTTCTTCTTTCCTTTCTCTATATATACTAATTGACCTGTTTATTCGAGCAATATCTTTTTCTTATGTTATGAATGAATAACAATCTTATTATAGAAAAGAAATAGCAGTAAGAGAAATCGTAGAGCATAATTTATATTTAACGGTGAATCTCGATGATTGCGTTATTACGGAGCCATCGGTCCGTGAACTTTTGTAACAGCCTCTAACTCTCAACGGAAACTTGATGAAATTCTATTCAGAAGGCAATGCACGATATACCGTTCCAAATGGCTCCTCTAGAATCCTTCGTTTCCGTACCTTTCGCAATATATGTACACACATATCACTTAAGAGTGATGATTATCCAGAAAAAAAGAAAACGGAAAAAAATTAGAAGAAAATTTTCTAAATCATTCGTTCGCTATCGTAAAAGTTATTATTAGAGATTTCTCTAATCTCTATTCCTTCCTAATATTATTATATTATACGTATCTCCCATTAAAACCACGAATGATCTGCAATTCTCAGCGTTATGATCAGGGGCGGCTCGTGCACAACTACTGTGCTATTACAGCACTTTCAATTTTTTTCTCCGTATACTCAAATATATTTATTCATTTATTTATATTTTCTTTGTAATTTTTTATTTTTTATTATCAATGATCTTTTACAATTTTATTCATGTTAGTATAAATAATGATAAATATCCATTTTTTCGATGTTAGCGTAATGTAGAAGTTTTTATAAATTAGTTTAACTATATTTTATATTTCGATCGAAATAAAACAAAAAAAAAGATTTTATTTGTAAGCAGTTTTGAATTACATTAAAATTTATAATTTTGTCGATATTAGGCATTATTTTTTCATGAAACGAAACGAAACGAGAAACTTATATTTTATTTTGAAGTTATTTTGAATTATCTATAACAAACATTTATATTTTCAATTTTGTTTTTATATTTAACATAATTTTGAAATTTTTACCAAATACGTATGCATTGTACGAATATTTGTAAAACTGACAGTACACCATACAGTTTGAGGTTATGAGCCGCCACTGTTGACGATAAACCTTTCCAAATAAGGTCGACAGAAAATTGTTCTAAAAACATGTTGTTTGCCACTTAATACCGGTTTATTTGTTGCTAAAATATGCGAAGTGTCTTACGTCAAAGATGTCTTGCGTCAAAGATAGACAATAAATTTAACGAAAACCAACGTTGCTCATTTGTAATATTTTTTCGAGAATAAACTCTTACCAACTCAACTAAATATTTCAGACTAGGTACATATTCCGTTCATAGAATGATTTGAGAAGTTATTTTGAGTAAGCCAAAATAGCCAAGAGATTCGATTGTAGAAAGAAAAAAAGATTAATTTCGTTGGTGTAGGAGAGAGAGGAAAAGTACACGTGTTCAGAATTTTACGATAGGATTCTCTTCCTGATTTCCCAAGAACCGTCAGCGATGATTATGTTTTATATATAAAACACTACGGAAAGTTTAATTGTCCAACGAGAATCCGATAACTCGTACGATTTACGTATATTTTGTTCTAACTTCAAATCACATATTTATAGAAAAATTGATCTTTTTCCTAATCCGAAAGAATTTCGGGTAATCTAAGGTTGACATAATTGAGAAATTTATAAAAAACTAATATTTAATAAAAAAAAAAAAGTAATTCTCTAGAACAATTTGACTTGCAAAAGATTGAATTTGATTTAAAAGAAAAAAGATGGATATAATTTCCAAATAAAATTTATTTTGAGTAGCAAAACCCGTAATAAATGTCAAACTGACATAAATAATATAATAATTAAAATAAATTTCAAATAACAATAATACACGACATTTGTAATTAACATTGTAAATAAAAGTAATAGCAATAAATGTAGATTTGTGATTAACAATTAATCATTGGATCTTTTGAAATAAATTTTGTATTAAACTAAAATCTTGAAAAAGAAAAACTTCATTGTACATTTTCATCTCTTTTTGTTTCTATTTTTTATTATAATCGTTGCTAAGGTGAACAGGATAAGGAAAGGACTTAGGGAGAGAAAAAAGTACAAAGTCTTTTTTACACGGAAGAATGCGCAGCATTTTCTCCGCGTTGCACTGCATTATTGATGGAAGAAGGTGCATCACGAGGCTCAGAACGATTTTATTCTCGTTTCTGTTCTCTACGGGAGAAATTACGAAGCCGATTTGGCTCGTCCTCCTTTATCCTTCTTTTTCTTTTTCTTCTTCTTTCCTCTTTTTAAAACGATCAGACTAACGTACGTTTCTTTTTCATTTATTGTGCGTGACGCGTTCACGTGTTTGTCGCGAAGGGTGGAACGGAAGAGAATTATCGTGCTGGCTGAGAAGAAGGGAGGATTGGCCGGCTCTTTGCTAGCAAAGAAATATCGTTTCTTCTATCAACTCAATTACGTTTATTTTCCTGATCGATAGATCGCAATCGCGATCACGATAGCTCATGTTTCATGGAAGATTCTTAGAATCGATCGATGTTAAAAAAACCAAGGCTTCAATAAAACCGTACATTTTTATTAATAAATGTTATTTTATAAAATTTATACTTTTTTATTATTTCTTTTCTGTTTGAAGTAAATTTTGTACATTAACACAACGCGGAATTAAATAGATTAGCGTGAAACACAAAAATACAGTCAATTCACCGTAAAAAGTTGGCGAGTTCGTCTTGCTTGTTTTTTCTCCATTCACGCGGTTTACAAGAAAATCTTGTTCACGATGACCCATGGGATTCTATTTCGATTGCGGAAACGTTTCTCTTGTAGAATAGAAGTGTGTTCGCGACCATTGACGCGAAACGATAGGAAAACATCAGATGGCACGTCAATCATTCTCGCGATGTCCAGTGCCAAGGCCTACTTTGCTACGTTTTTTTTATTTTTCAACTTGTCGAGTGAAATCCGTTTTACTGTCGTTTCTTACCGTAAATTCTTTAATGTATCTTCAAATTGGGCGCGTCAATTCTTGCAGAATTTTCCGAAACGATAAATGGCCACATCCCCACCACTTAGAGCCGTTTTAGTGAGCCCCTTGCTGGGTCATTTTCCGAAAACGTTCACTCTATTTTCCTGCTGGACATATCTTTGAAAAGAAACAACGGATCATCCATTTGTTGCATTACAAAGATCTTTCTAACTACGAGCAAGATTCGAGGACACATCTTTGGAAGGAACAATTGATCAGCTATTGTTGCAATACGAACACTACTCGTAGACGCGAGCGAATAAGTATATCTGTATTCAATTGTAAGCCTATTATATTAACATAACATCGTTCTCAAATATTACAACATAAAGCGACGCCTTCGGCTAGCTGTTCGGTAGCATACAGCACTGGCATTAAAACCAATACTACGGGCGACAACCAAGCCAATTATTGTTAGCAATATCGATTAATTCATCAGAGACTTACATATGTAAGAAGAAATGAAAGTATGATGCGTACGCGGACAATGCCATAACGGATTTACGTAATAGCTCATCGCAAACATGTGTGAACGATGTCGAGGACACGGATATAATGTGTGAGTTCCTTATTTAATTAATTGTTGAATGAGTTTTATAACTATTGAAAAGATTCGTTAAGTATTTCATAAAAATAAAACAAAAATCCATCTAACCAGGTAAAATTTTTCATTTCGTTAATCTACATAATATAAAAAAAAAACAAAATTAATCATTCATAATTTGAATCTAAATGATTCAATTTGGAAATAATTAATTAATCGTTGAATTGTCTTTGATACCACAAAAGAATGTTAAAATTACGTAGGTAATACCAAGGCTATTAATTGCACCATGGACCTTGAAACGATGATGATAATAATAAGGGAAGTGAAATTTAGCGCGGTACATGTTATTTTCTTTTGAAAAAGTCCTCGCAGCTGATATAGCAATAGTAATTATTACACTGTCCGTATTTGTAAAGAGACAGACCAGTGAAAGCGGACGTATTAAAATATCCTTTTTTTTATATGTCATGTTGAAAATAATAAAAAAACCTATCTGCTAATTGGATTCTTTTTATGAATCTCGGACAAATTTTCTTCTTTTTGAGAATATTTATGACACGATCGTTATAATGTTATATATAATTTACTATATAAATCGCTCGAAAGCCAATGCGGGTTCAATAAAATAAGAATTGAGAGAATTAATGTTTTGTAATACATTGGTTTTTAAAATCTCTGGTTTATTAATTTGATCCAAAAAGTATATAAAGTCTTATTTCAAAGGGCAATAACTAAGTACGTCTAATTTTTATATGCATTTATTATTATTATTATGTATTTACTTATTATTTTCTTATTATTAGGTATGTATTCATTTATTTATAAACTATTCAGAATAATAAATTGCTCAATTTTAAATCACTTTTTAGGTAAAGGCAAGCTTAGGTATAATGAGTACTTAATAGTAAAACATTATGATTATTCAACAGCTATTATTTTGTTAATTATTATACAAATATCTGATAATTAGATAATAAGGATAAATTTCATTTACTTATTAATATCGACGATATGTTGAAGTGTCGTGTATTATTATTCAAATATCTGATAATTAGACAATAAAGATAAATGTCATTTACTTACCAACATCGACAATGTGTTGAAGAGTAGGGAAACGTCTTTTAACCCTTAGCGAAATCCTCTGAAGGGTGATAACATAAGCCAAAACGGCATACCTCACGATATTCCGCCTCATCAGTCGACCTCTCTCGTCCTGAAACACATAATCCGTTTCTCTTAATAAGAATAAACATATTCATTTCACATCGAAAACAATTTTTTTGAAATATCCAATACTCTTGGATAAATAATCTTGTTTATAACTGCAACAAAACACTCATTATCTTACTATTCGCTATTTTAAAACTATTTTGTCTATCTAATGTAAGTACTTTGACCTCGTAAGTAAGGAAAAATTGATTTTTCCATTGAATTTTGCAATTCTAAATTAAGTAAATCCATATATTTATTAGTTATAAATGTAATTGTTTTGATGCATTTAAAATCATTAACTCGCTCCTATATTTTATTAGGTAATTAAGCATGAAATTTCCGATTTCGAATTGAAAGTAATAAGAATGATTCAACGTTTCATACTTAATGGTCTAATATTTCATGTACGCGTATTAGTATTGTATATCTAGGAAATGTAATGCGATAAAGAAACGGGGCTTTTTCCATTGAATTCAGCATCCCTAAATTAGATCACTATATTTCAAACAAATTGCAGAAAAAGAATTGAAACTTGTTGACTAGTATAATCTTTGAAATTTTTAGTGACATTGATATAAATCTAACGCAATCGTTAGAAAGAAAATTAGAAAAAGTACTTTTTTCCTATTGGACGTATTAAAAAAGTTCGGGATCTCATTCGAAAAAACTCGTTTCCTCTGCGGAACAAATGCAAGACACGTTTTCAGGACTCTCACGGCACTTTCCCCTCGAACTCTCGTCGAAGAACGAATGAACGAATGACTTGACGCCCACGAATCTTCTTCAACGAGCAACGTACTATTTTCGATTGGTATTTCAAACGATCGAAAAAAATCATTTACCTAAGAACCTAAACGAATGTTTCTATCTATTTTTCATTTAACATGTCTATCGTTTAGTTTAGTAATCCTAACTCGCATTTTGTAATCGGTCGATGACATCGGCACGAAGTGGAAGTCTCGATCATCGAACGGAATATCAATCCAATCGGAAATCTCGATGAATTCGATTTTTGAAACTATTACATACGTATGTAAGAAGACTCTTCTCGTATCAACTGAAAAGTCACATGCGTAAGATAATTCGAATCGATTACCGTGGAATTTATTGGCTTCGAAAGATTGACCAATCTATTGATCGATCGATCTCATCGTCGTATGAGAAATTTCAAATTATACATTTTGTTTAATTTCTTTCCTACCTCTTCATGTTTCTACTTATATCTATACTACTTCTTTACTACTTCTATTCTTAACTACTATCATTGGGACCTGTATGTATATTTATGTATGCGTGATATATATATTATGTATACGTATTCAATATAATTATTATTTTATTCAAATTGTATTTTTGTTTGAATTATTTTCGAGATAATATTCTATTTAGAAATAAGTATAATTTTTTTTAGTTACATTTTTGTTATTTTTTTTTTTTACTTATTGATAAACATTATCGTTTCGAGATAAAGTATTTTGTAGCTTCGACCACGTATTTTTGGTATAATATATGCAAGTGCTAGACGATGGAAGAAAGTTGTCGGAAGTCAAATTTTTCAGTTGAAGAGGTTCTCATAACACGTGCATGGTAAGCGTTACGAGAGCCACGTGCTGATCTAGAACGATCTGTTCATGCGAGGAACGAGGAAGAAAGTTGCTGGCTTTCGTACGACGATATCATCGAAAGTTGATTCTGTCGCGAAAATGGATACTTTATTTTAATACGTATTACTTCTTTTTTCTTTTTTTTTCCATTATTATTATTAGTAGTATATATGATTTGTTTTTGCCTTTCAGGCTTAAATCAACTATTACATCGTCTTACAATTTATCATGGACCTGTACGCTTATGTGTTTGCATGTAAAATCATTGAGTATTATTATTCTTAAATTTTATATTCTATAAATCTTATTATAAATTTATTTAAAT